CCGTCGGTGCCAACAAGCCATTTAAGAGCCTTAGCCTTGTTAAACCATTCCAGTACTATCGTTCGCACATGCTGATGAATAACGAGTTTGTCGATGTGATACTGAAAGAGAACCGAAGAATGAGCACGAGCGAATGGAGGGAGTACATGTACGACGTAAGTTCCAGTATCTTCTGAATATCAGCGAACTGGGAGCTAGGGTAGAGCTGGGAGGGGCCAGCGGGCAAGAATATAGTACGTAGTTGGGGAAGGAGACAACCCGCCCGTTTCTGTGTCATTTCTCATAACCAAGAGTCAAACTCAGAGCGCAGACCATCGAAATGACCCAGGTATAGCCTCGCAGTGAAGACAGTCTCCACTACGCCTAGGCTTGTGCAAGCAACACAGACAGGTTACGTCCAGCCGTTGAGAGAAAAAAGCTGCCCTCCCCCTCCCAGAATTTCCTTCTCTGCTACGACCGCGAATCAGTAGTCATTAATAGTAGTGGGGGAGGGCTATAGCATCAAGCACCTCAAACGGGAAAAATCGTTAACGGTTGGGAATGTTTCCCTCAAACGTCTCAGATACGACTCCTCTCCCTCCGGCGACCAAATACGACCCCGTCGCTGGGTATCCCCAAGGTAAGGCGCGCCCCTGAACAGATAGGGCCTGCCCAGTGCTCCTTCCCAACCACGTTAGTGCCGAGAGTAGATAACACCCATTCACCGTTTGTCTATGCCTGATCACCATGTCATTCAGAGGGGGCAGTTAGCAGCAAATGGAGGTAGCACGGCCTGGTTACTGACGCCTCCCTCCATCACTTTAGCGCATACATTTTCTACAGTGAAGAAGCATTTATGTCAGGACCCCATGTGACTACAGCTGTATTTGTTAAGGAACTCCGAGTGAGTTTTCTCGCCACTGAACTGCATCTACCAATGCGTACTGTACACGGGATTTTACGCGCAGATAATGGATACGTTATATATGAGTAGGTTATGACAGTACTGTTAGCGTATTTGAGTTCACTGAAAACGATCCCAGGAAAACTATTAGGAGTCATTTTTCAGCATCAAACCTGGTTGTGAATTTCCTCGTTTCCTTGATGAGAACGATGAAAAACTGGATTTTGGAACAAGGATAAAGGTCAGTACGATCGAAGATAAACATTGAAATGAAGTAACCTGGACTACTCCAGGCCGATTGGATGATGAAGGGTCCAGCTTCTTTTAGCGCGAATCCGTCGTAACCGAGCGCAGAGGCCGAAAACTCTGGTGTGTGCAACGCTCCCGTGCGGAACATGTTCACTGTTAACCACTTTCGACCAAACAAATCAACACACCGCTCTCGCGCAGTCGCGCTCGTTTCTGATGCCAGATTTGCGGACCTAATGACACAGTACTGTCCGCATTGAGTCGGGGACCGAGTCTCGCTCCTAGCCCAGTCACAATTAGCTTTTAGAGCCATGGGCCAGATTCAACTATAATGGAAGGGACCTTCCCCATTCCCCTTTCCCCGCCCTGTTATCTCTGCTGATGTCTTTGTCCCTCTGCCTCTCAACGCTCCCCATTTCTACCCTTCCCCATAAATCTTCAGCGACTATAGCGTTGCAGAAAAGTGGAGGGCTGCTGCTCTCTCTATTCGGGTCAATAACCGACCGAGCTTCATCATCAGTCAGATCACTGTCAAGTTTTAGGGCTAGAATTGCCCTAGAAAGAAATTGGGGCCCCCCCGCTCTGTTTGTTCGGGAGGTCTTAGGGAAGAGGTTCCTCAAAGGGCAAGGGGACTCCGAGGAGGGGCAATGGGGGGTATCCTGTTGCGGTTGAAAGGCTGGGTTAGTTTCATTAATGGACACGCAGATGAGAACGCGAGAGGAAAAAACAGAAAGTTGACGCGATCAAAGGAGCTTGATTCAAATGGTCTTTGGGACCCTTGAAAGATACCCTTCCCTCGAAAAGGGGAATTGTAGTGTAGGTCCTGGGGGATTGTCCAATTTACTCGCCTGCAGTCAGCCAGTTAGTTACTCAAGCAACTGAAAGCAGTGACCTCAGTGTTAGGCGGAACATGCCATCATCTATTTCGGAAGGAGAATTCCATTATTTCAAATTTTCCGCAAGCCCAAACCAATAGCGACTTACAGTACCTGCTGCATTTCCAGCTATGCAGAGCCTTATCAAGTGTGATGGCTGGCTTGTTCAATGCTTTTGATATTTCTATTGTGGTGCTATCAAGCTGGAGAATTTCCATGTCTATTATGTGGTTTGTTTCTCTAAACCCTAGTTGTAGTTGACAAAGCTACGCGGACGAAGACTGAGACGAAGTACGTTCCCCAGACTCAGGCCCAGTAGACGCAGACCCGCGGGAGCGCACTGGCGCTCGCTTCGTCCCACCGCCACATGGCTTCCACCATCTACAGCAGCACATAGTTTTTTTTTTTGGGATGGCAGCACATAGTTTTTTTTAGGATGCCATGCCATACGGTCGAATCCAACTGGTCTTCACTGAGGGAGCCGATCTGACTCCTGTCGAGTAAGACATTGTGATACTGAAATTTCGGTAGATCATAGAGCAGAACAATTCAGGTCGTACTAAAACAGCGCTTGAGAGCTTAGTGTACAAGTGTGGGACGCGTACAATACAGCGCTAAGCTATGAAAACGCACCGAAGGGGCAATCGATCAGTGCGGTCGGCTTCATGTTTTGGATTAGAGTTTAGATGAAGGGGAGGTACCAGATTGCGTGAAGGGAGCGTCTACTCCCCTGTTGTCCCATACTCTCTCTAAGCGGAGCGGCCAGCGCACATCCATCCACGTCTGCAGCCGCGTTCGCGTCTACAGCATTTGGGCGCCCTTGCGGTGGTATCCCGTCGGCGCGCATTACAGCACCTTAACTCGAAGTCTGAACGCTGCCTGAGACACGCAGGGAGAGCCTCGGTACTTCAAGATTTTTGTGTTTGTTAGCAGGAATTGCACTGTGCCTTACAACCCAGGCCAGAGCCGCAACATATTGCAGAGTAAACAGTAGATTTTTTTTGTTAGCTTTAGTTGGCTGGCGTTTGTTCGCTTAACCTGTTCAACCCATGCCCCCCCCCTCCTCTTACGATGTTCAGCTGTTACGAAGATATAGGCACTTTTGCACAACCTATATTCTAATCAAATTAACCAATTTACCATGTGCGTTTGGAACGTCCATCATTTTGGCGCAAGAGTTTTTCAGGAAGACAAGGCCCGTCGATAAAGGAGATTTTACCCAGATGGCTCCGGAGGTGTCTTGGACTCGTCTGCTGACACCCCAAGCCGGTGTATACAGCTTCGGACTGGTGATACGATTGTGCTTGGGGATATCTCAGATATATCACCGCAAGGTAAGTTACAGAGCCGTCTGAGAAAAATGTAGATGTCGCATTACGGAGGGTGGTGGAAGAAGCAGTGGATGTAAACGATCATTAATGATGACTTTTGAGATCGCCAAAAATCAAACGTCAGTAGCAGGCGCTCGCGTTCTCAATGAGGTACTGTTCAACCGGAATTTGATGTTAGTAGATACCGCGACGCGCAACCGCACGCGGATCTTCTATGCAACATGCATCAAATACTGCAATGCGGCGGCACGCGACTGGTTATTTTCTTTTTGCGATGAGCCATATGATATGTCAAGTGCACTGAACAAACTAAAGAATCAGTTAGGCAAGATTTTATAATGCGCGATTATTGCTGCAGCCAATTTCAGACCCTAATGCCTCATTCGTGCTCGAGCCAAGGAACTTATCGACAGGTGCATGCATCCAAAACCTTCGGAGCGACCAAGTATGAACGGTGTTTTCCTCGAGTTGGACGACATGAGCAACAGAGTGAAGCATACGAAACAACAACGCTGGACACCGGTTTAGATTCTCCTCATGTCTGATAATATGACTATCCTCCAGATCGATTACAAGACTAACACGCGATGTTTAACCTTTTTCTATTTGCCGTTCGAGGCTACACCGTATCAGAATTTTCCTTGTGTAATAAAACTCTTATATATGATGTACCTGAAAATTAGGGTGTGGCACGCGCCCAAACACGCTTATTCTTGGGTTAATGTACATACAGCTGATATGCCTAACAAGAAGTCGGGGGTGGAGTGAGCCAGCCCACGAGCGGCGTTTCCACCACTGGTTGCTTTCTTCCAAAATCAATCACCAACCGATCATCACTGGCTGAGCAAGTTAGCTGAAGGCAAGCTCATTCAGCCCTTCTGGTATGACGTTCCGACCGAGTTCGACGCCGTCAACTATTTTCCGTTGCCCATGCTAAGGAGAGGGCCTGCGAAGGGGCGTGGCTTGGACGCAAGAGGAGCCCCACCAATTGTTGCGGACTCAGGATGGCACCAATTGATGAAAGAGGCCGTCCCAGCGGCACTGAAATTCACACGCACTCACATGCCTCTAGTTGTTCTGCAGGAATAACGACAGTGCGTACATCAGAATTAGACCTTGAGGTAATAAGAAATAGTCGCATCAATCACACTCCTTACAAACTTCGCCCTGGGTCATCCGTTATGATTCTGTGCGTGTCTTCTCCATTGCTGACCGAACAGTTCTCCCCGAGAGTCGGGTAATCACATTTTCGGCTATTCGGAGTTCGCGCATCAGGCACAATCGAAATTTGTAAGCGAAGAAATCCATCTGTTTCGTTGTTTTCATGTTTAATGTGGGTACTTGATATCGACAGGCGGAGGTGGTGTAGTGACAAGTGGCGCGCTTACCACTCGCGCGGCGCCGGGTTCGAATCCCGGGTCGACTCCCGCCCAAGCCTTCTACCCCCGGGGACGGTAAATTGGTACCAGATTCGTCTGGGAGGATAAAACACTGACTTGTACATCGGCTGGCCACCGCAAGTCATTGTATAGGCCACAGCCACTACGATTCTGAATGGAAGTAGAATGCGTGCCGCATCCCACAAAGGGATTGATCAACGGTGAAGACTTTATCCTTATCCTTACTTGATATCGACATGAGAGCTGCAACTTCAAAGGGCGGAGGCGGAGAAGCAAACGACACTATGCTGGCACTACCTTCAGCCTTACTTCCGCACGGCGCAGTTCCACAATTGGGGGGGGGCATTTTGCACATTTGCTACTGCTTGTGTCGAGTCATCTAGAGAGCTATTTCATGAGCTTACAAGAGTTGACAGGTTTTACCATGGTGGCTCGACGAGCTTGCTCCAGCTTCACAGGAGTTCACAGGTTCCACCAGAGTGAGACATGTAAATCACAACTAGTGGAGCAGGATGAGTGCAAAATGTGCCCCTCCCGTTGACGAACTGTCACCTGCACATTTTCGAGTGGAACATTTTTAGGTCTGCAAGACCTTTCATTTCGCATACGGCTTAGGGCGAATAATCTCCGTAGGTGGGCATGGGCAGCCATGAAGTCAACAGTGCGGTTACAATCAAGATAAACCCTGCAGGGGACTCTTAGGCTGCGTTTATACTTTGCGGCAGCGTAGCGTAGCGCTTCCAGCGTACGCCAGCGGCAGTGTCGGGGAAAGGATAGATATCGATCTAGCGTTCCCAGCGTCACGCAGCGGAACGCTAGATCGATATCTATCCTTTCCCCGACACTGCCGCTGGCGTACGCTGGAAGCGCTACGCTACGCTGCCGCAAAGTATAAACGCAGCCTTAAGAGGCGTCGCTAACCAGGTTGCCGCGCGATACACTGTGCATTCGTTCGGGCGCCCGGACGATCGTATGGGCACGCACTCGGAGCGCATTACTTTGGAATGGGCTATACGAATATATCTCTTTATATCTGTTCTGTGCTTCTCATGCCTGCCTATCGCCATCTCTTTTTATCCTTTTGTTCTTATCTTCACTTCTGAACTTCAGGCAGCAGAGACGTAAAAACAAGCTTTTTATTGTGTTTCCGTTCCGCCTTTGCAATTTTGAATCGAATACAAAGGACCGAAGAAACAACTGTTAGCAGTCAGAAGCTAGCAGCAGAAGTTAGCAGCAGTTAGACAGAAGCATATGTTCTGAGAATCAAGAGAAACAATAAAAATAAAAATGAAAGACAATCAAAAGGCAATGCAATAAAAGAACAGTCACACATCCATCCCAATTGTCCCACTGAACCATTTTATCTCGTTCCCGGGTATGGAACTAGCCAGAACTCCATACCTGGAGACACCACGAGACAAATGTTTAGTGTGATTCGGGTTTTTTTCTTGTCTTGGGGCGGTGTCAAAAAGCACAGAACAACCCACTCGCGACGTTTCCTACAATCTTGTTCGCTGTTAGGGCAGGGATCGTTAGGTGGACAGGTTTGGCGGTGCGCCGGCCCCTACCCCCACCAATGGCAGCTGTTTCCCCTTCTCAACAACTGGTGAAGAAGGGACTGGCGACGAAACAAGTCCAGCCCCCTGACACACCTAAGCATCCGCAGTGGCAAGACTCTGTCACTGGTTTTCTTCCTGCGTCGATCGCCAACCGATCACTATTGGTAGGAGCGGGCTCATCATGCTCTCCTGACACCGACTGACTGCGATGGTATCAAATATACATGTATCCGGCAAGACATCAATCCAGGTGTGCTCAAATGTGCATAAGGATGATGATGTTTTCGTGCGAAGCTTCGCGTTTCCATAGCCAGGGGCTTGACCTCCTACCTCTCTCTATCTCCACCAAGACAAAATCTAGCCAGATCGGGTTTTGATCTGCACTTTGAACGGCTGAGCAGTGACGGACCGCATCATGTTCAATACCTCTTTCACACCTTTGTGGTGACCAACGAAGTAAAGAATGAGCACATAAGTACAAGAAAACGTTAACGACCCGCGAGAATAACTAAAGATTTTCGGGAAGGAGACTAGGTGGTATCGATTTTGTCGACT